ATCCTTGATGGGCGCAGATAATTGACATATCAAAGGACATATCAAAATAAAACAAATTTGTAAACACTGTTCCACATTTTAATGAATAGACTAGGTACAAGATGTTTTAATAAATGACTACCTATCATTTATTAAAACAATTATTCAGACTCTGAACCAGATTCGCCAGAGCTGTCATCGCTATCAGTCACTTGTATGACAATTTCATTCTCTATAATGGTGTCCACTCTTATATCGCGTTCATAATCTTCTGTTATTAGTTTTCTTTTATAACGTGTTATTCATGTATATACAATGTACTTTGTGCATGTTATTGTGGCGTAGCTGTCAAGTTAGAGGTTTTCTTAGAAATTTTTATTTTGTTTTTCTATGAAGTATGAACTAACTATAATTTGTAAATAAAGCTTTTTTGGCATTTTACTGCTATTTTACGAAAGGGTGTTTATTGTTTAATACGTTATATATTTCGACGGGACGTTTTCTTTAGCTTTAAGGTCTCTGCCCACTACACCGTATCATACCATGACCGTGCTCGGAACGTGTCAGGCAAATAAATATTATTTGTATTGAAAAGTATGACACTAGACCGTTCCGTCACCCAAAAAAATCGTCGCGTGCCATGCACGGAGCGTTAACAAATGTCGGCGAGAAGATTTTGCCGGTGCTGACACGCTCTGTGCATGACACGCGACGTTGCCAAGACGCTGCGCTTTCAGTATATAATAAAAGTACTCTGTGCGCTGCGCGCAGGCGGCGAGAAGGCGAGTATACGGGTTGTAAACGCGTATGATGACCGTTATATAGGCGTTGTGTTTTGTCTAACAGTTAATTTTCTGATAGCCGTACCTATTTTACAGTTTAAAAATTTGGTAGCACTCCAAGACGTCCACGAAACACTGTTACACATACGAAAATGAAATGGATTCCTATTGGTTTTGGTGGATGTTGCATACGTGCATCATACGGTTTACATACGGGTTGCATACTGGCATCATACGGTATGTATCCGTTCAGTGGGCATAGCAGAGTGTATCGTGTTGCTTTTCGTGCATGATACGCTCCTAGCACGGTCTTGGTATGATACGGTGTAGTGGGCAGAGACCTTTAGTGTATTTTGTATATAATTTTTAGTTTTAAAATGTATTTTTAAGTGTTTCATTCCCAATTGTACAAGTAACAGAGAAGAGTCTGACGAAGGCCAAAGAAACAAGTGGTTGGACTTTATAAACTGTGACGAACTTAAAAGTATGCTGCATTCCAGTAACCTTTTCAAGAAGCCTACTTGGTCACAAAATTTATGAATAAAGGGTTTCATACTGCTAAATTTGACATTAATAAGGCTAAAAAAGGTTGGATAAACTCAACACTTTTCTTTGGAGTAAATTGAGTTAGGTTTATCATGAAAGAGGAGAAAGGTATGTACATTTAATTATTCCTTAATAAACATAACTGCTCAGTATATTCCGTATTCATATAAAATTTAAAAAACAAAATTATAATAAAGATGTACGGGAGTACCATATATTGAATAAAACTACTTAATTCCTGGCATTTCAAGTAATCTCTTTGATAACAACTTAGTAATAATAAACTGGTTGCCAACTTGTCTGCCAAGTGTTACAACTATGGAAAATGTAAACCTTATACGATAACCTATGAAGGCCTATGTTTACCAGTAGCTTTATGATAGTCTACAAGGAATGAATGATGAATGAAACATAATAATATATTCTTTTTATAATAATTTATTAAAACTTTAAGTTAATGGCAGAAGTAAATGAGGAATTCTATTATTTTAAATAATTAATTGTCAACATTATTTTATGCACAATCGCACACCTCTAGTCTAAATAATTACAAAATCGAGGTTGTCTGAATGACAATGACAAACAATATTTTATGTTTTTATTTCAGATGATACAGTTCAAATAAACTCAGTGTCATATTTGATCAACCATCATAAAAAAGGTATGAGCAATAATTTTGTTGTCAAAACACATAATGACTGATGGAAACGTATCAAAATGGCAAGATGACGTGTACTAAACAGGCTGCAAGCATACTCAATTGGGCATGTTACATAAACTAAATGATGAACGTGTGATTCCCAACCAAGTAAAAAAATTAAGGTAATAGTCATGTAAAATTTAAATTGCAAAACAATCGCCGTTCTAAAACTTTAGTTCAGATAATATTTTTAATAGGATTAGTAGTATGTTTATATTTTGAGCAAATCTGATCTCTGTCTACTACACTGAAATAAATGAATTAATGTAAATTCTAATTTTAAGTGCTAATTTATCATGTTCTGGAACATTGTGACGAAATCTGTGTGTCTAAGGAAAAGGAATAAGCATATTTTAAAGATGTAGTCTACCAATAAGCACCTTTCCCAACTCATTGTTTCATACCCTTCTAAGAAATGAGTCAGAGTCTGTGCCCAGCAGTAGAACATGAACATAGACTACTTCGTATGCTGTTTAACAATGGTAGAGCCAGGCGGCAGCTTTTGCTGTCGCACGGATGGGCCGGCTCGAATCGGGGTGGTACCATGACCTCACAGAATACCAACGTGAAGTAGAGGTTTACCTCTGCGTTTCGCTTGGTGAGTGCAGGTGGCCGGAAGCCCTTTTTACTGGTAATGAAGCATTCCATCCTAGTCCTCAAGGGTGAAAACGCATCTGCATTTTGATTTGTAATATAGGATAGATGTAGAAGTCTATGGGCCGCAGCAACCACTTACCATCAGGTAGACTGTGTGCTCGTTTTTCACCCTTATCCTATTAAAAAAATAGACTCCAATAGATAATTGGCTACTTTACAAATACTTTTATACTCCCAATGTTCTATAAAATTGCTACAGTGTACTTAATTATCTTAGGTATCAATGATAATTATCTTCAAAAATTATTGGAAATTTCTGTATCATTGTGAAAGCTTCTTAGATTTATGTGAAAGTAACTTTGTCTGATTACAATGGCCTCTTGTCTTGACATTTTCTATGCAAACATTTATAAACAACAACAATTACAATTAACATATTCAAAGTTAGCTTCTTGTAATTTATATATTATTCCTTTTTCCAGCTCAATACACTGGATATCGAATGTATTGAAGAGAACCTTTCCACTGAAAATATTCAAGTGCAAGCAGCAAGAGAGCAATTAAATGTTTACTGTATAGCATATACACCACTATTGTAACTAAATAAGTATGTGCAGTAACAATACGTTATTGTGCAATTACAATTGAGATATGTGCAATTTATTGGCACTCTGTGCAATTAGAAAAAACTTTATTTACGGAGATATCGATATTGCAGTACTAGTAAAAACCATAATTTACTTTTTGATTTTTTATAAAAAATTGGAGTGTGCAATTACAAACACAAGTATAATCGTAATGTGCTATTAAAAATACGTCGACTAGTATTTTTTTAATTACAAATATCATTATTTTGCAGGCTGGGGTGGGGGGGGGGGGGGGGGGGGTAATTAGCACCAACGTTCCGGGAAGTCTGCAGTTTGTGATCATATCCTAGACGGCCCCTGCCATTACATTAGATTTGATAAACCACAAATTCTCGCGAAAGAACATAGATTCTTGCCAAGGGTGATACGTGAGGCTATTGAAATTTAAAAAAAACATCCTAATTTCAATAGAGAGGGAGGCTGGGTACTACGGCCTGCTTGGGATCCTGTAATTCATAAAATTAAAACTAAACCCAAGCACACCACTGCAAGACTTCAAGATACAGTAAGTTCATTCTGCGTAGATAGGACCAAAATTGTCCGATCTACGCAGAACGACACGTTGGGCGTGTCAAGCGCCACAGACAAAAATGACACGCCTATTGTGCCATCCGCCATGTGTAAAAGTGGTAGTACCCAGCCTCCCGCTTGGGATCCTGTAATTCATAAAATTAAAACTAAACCCAAGCATACCACTGCAAGACTTCAAGACACAGTTAGTTCATTCTGCGTAGATCGGACCAAAATTAATAATTAAAAAGCTGAAGGTACTCCGGGTTAACTTTGACATCGGGACGTCAATCACCTCAGTCCCCCGTGACCACGTGAAACGTCGGGAATATAAAATAACTTAATTAAACGCGATAAAATCCGTAAAAGTAGTTTTATTCAATGTCTTTCACTTAGTTAGCTGCCACGGCAGGAGTTTAACCGATTCGTTGCGGCACCGATTTTCGACAACTTTTAGCTGTGGGGCGGCGTGCCATCCGCACTGAACCGGTTAATGTTTCAGTTTCACTCTGAATTCAGTCTGGACATTTTACAGTGTAAATATGAAATGTATTAATAACTTGACTACAAAAGCCATCTTGTACGGAATAATAGAACAAGTAGAAAAACCTTTCCGTGGCTTATGTGCTAATTGAAACTACATTTATTATGAAGAAGCTGATTAAAAACCACTAAAAAAATGAAGTTTAAAATATGAAACAAATGGGAGGTTAGTGGAAACAGCCCAGACCATGATTTTTTTTTATTTAAATGATGGATAATGTTTTCTTTCTTCGTTTCGACGTTTATTATTATTGTTAGAGAGCCTATTAAAGTCGACTGCTGAACATAGACCTCATCCATAGATTGCCTCATAGGGGGATATTTGCCATAGTTGCCACGCTTGGCAACACAGTTTTTTTATTTTACTAGGAAGACGCTGCTGCCCGTCTCCTGATTTGCTTCTCTCTGTCGTGTGGAGTTTTATAAGGTGTAACGGTAACGATAAACGTCGAAACGAAAAAAGAAAAATATAAACTAGTATAATTTAAATAAAACAAAAAAAAAACATGAAGGTCTAGTCTGTTTCCACTAACCACTCGGTAAATATATCCAGGTTCGATTTCACTTGGTTGCTTCTTTGGTTTTGAATTAACATCTTCAGAATAAATGCAAATTTCAATTAGCACATATGACACAGAAAGGTTTTTCTACTCGTTCTACAGTTACATAAGGAACTCATGACAAATGGATTTTTATCTAGTGTACTTTTATATTTATATAAAACACGTTTACATAATATTGCACATACTCGTATTTTACCAGATCTCTCACAAAAAAGGTTCTGCTCAATTGTGTGTTTTCACATGTGTTTGCAAACTAATTTTTGTAATAGATTTATATTTGCAGATATTACACGAAAAGGGTTTTTCTCCAGTATGTATTTTCATATGTGTTTGCAAATTACTTTTGTGAATACATTGATATTTACAGATATGACACGAAAAAGGTTTTTCTCCGGTATGTATTTTCATATGCCTTTGCAAATTACTTTTTCGAATACATTGATATTTACAGATATGACACGAAAAAGGTTTTTCTCCTGTATGTATTTTCATATGCCTTTGCAAATTACTTTTTCGAATACATTGATATTTACAGATGTGACACGAAAAAGGTTTTTCTCCAGTATGTATTTTCATATGCCTTTGCAAATCACTTTTTGTAATACATTTATATTCACAGATATTGCATGAAAAAGGTTTTTCTCCAGTATGTATTTTCATATGTGTTTGCAAAATACTTTTTTGAATACATTGATATTTACAGATATGACACGAAAAAGATTTTTCTCCAGTGTGCATTTTCATATGTGTTTGCAAACTACTTTTGTGAATACATTGATATTTACAGATATGACACGAAAAAGGTTTTTCTCCAGTATGTATATTCATATGCCTTTGCAAATTACTTTTTCGAATACATTGATATTTACAGATATGACACAAAAAAGGTTTTTCTCCAGTATGTATTTTCATATGTGATTGCAAATTACTTTTGTAAATACATTGATATTCACAGATATGACACGAAAAAGGTTTTTCTCCAGTATGTATTTTCATGTCTCTGCAAATGATCTTTTCTACTACTTTTATAATCACAATTATTACAACAGTACACTTGTTCAGCGACGTGCGCTTTAAGATGTGCCAAAATGCGACGTTTTTGAGATGTTTTAAATTCGCAAATATCACAATTAAATATTTCCGTTACTTGTGGTACTGGAGTTTGTTCAACTTGTGTCCGAACTGCAGTGGTGACTGAGTTCTTTTGCACCTTATGACTGTATGAAATGTGTTTGGCGAGAATGTCTTTTGTTGAAAATTTTTTGCTACAACCATAACATTCAAAAATGTATTTTGTTGATGCCCTTGACGTTTTTTTCGTAAGTATATTTACACTCTTTCGTTTCAAAATTTTCTTTTTCATAATCTTTGCAGGATGCTTTCCTTTTTTATTAATTGGTTGATTATCTTTTTTCACTTTAAGCTTTGATTTAATAGTAGGGCTCTCTAAATCGAGGTTTCCCTTATGAACATCGTTTATGTTACAATCAGTAGAATTTGATTTAATCTTGCTCTCAGAGGATTTTGAAAAATTATTTGCCGGTGTGATGTATGGTTCTGAAATACATACAAATTAAACATTTTATTTATTATAAGACACCACAAACTGTGAACACTGGGCGGAGTTTATGCCTTATGGCATTCTCTATTGGTTACCCCAGGGAGAAATAGAGATATTACAATATTTTACATGATAATACTCATGTAATGTTTCTATATACACATAAAGTATTTTAGCCAATTAGTTTCAGTAATGAATCTCATTGCCGTGTAGTGACGGTTAAGAATATTCACTACCCCATATATTCCCGTGGGTGTCGTAAAAGGCGACAAAGGGAAACAGGCAGGAGATGGGCAGCAGCATCTTCCTGATAACAGAAAATTATAATAAAAAAACGACACAACCCGCTCGCCAAGCGTGGCAACTATGGCAAATACCCCCCAAATGGATAAAGTTACTAAGAGACGGTCCCCAGTCCCCGGCGGCCCCGCTATTCCTGGCTACGGTGGCGACCATGGTAACGGCGGGGCAGGGGGTGCTAAGAATCTCCGGTGGAGGTTCGGTTGCCACCTTAGACGACTCGACCTGGCAACGTACAACGCACGCACCCTGAGGACTGACGAGAAGATCGTGGAGCTGGAAGAAGAGATAGACAAGTTACGCTGGCATATTATAGGATTATTGGAGGTCCGAAGAGAGAGGGAGGACACGGTAATCCTTGAATCCGGCAACTTGGTTTATCACCTAGAGGGCGACCATCTGTCCCAAGGAGGTATCGGATTTATCGTCCACAAGTCTCTCGTTAACAATGTTGTAAAGATTGAGAGTGAGTCGACGAGGGTTGCGTACCTTATACTCAGAATCACCAAACGGTATTCGCTGAAGGTTATACAGGTTTACACACCAACCTCGGCACATCCCAATGAGGAGGTGGAAACTGTCCATGCGGTCGGAGCTAAGTTTTGCAAGACCCGCCGCAGAAGAACACAAAAACTCTCCGATCACACTCTTAATTTCATGGCTGTTAGACGGGAGATGAAGCTGCATTCTTCAACAGATTTGACAGAATATAGGCAACTGAACAGACAGATCTCTAAATGCATGCGGCAGGACTTACGCAACTTCAATACAGTTTGTATTCAAGAAGCGATCGAGCGGAACCAAGGCTCCAAAGTCTTTTCCAGGGATCTGTCTGCCAGAAAGAGCCAACTGTCAAGGCTGAAGACCGAATGTAGCAGCATCGTTTCCGGGACACCTGAGATTTTGAGTGAGATTGAGAGGTTCTATGGGCAGCTGTACACGTCATCGTTGGAGCCACACGCAAGTGTGAGTAACGATACAAGAGCGAGTCTTATCCGACACTATTCCGAAGATATCTCAGACGTCAGTCTGAGCGAGATTAGAATGGCTCTCCAGCACCTTAAAAACGACAAATCCCCGGGCGAGGATGGAATTGCAGGGGAGCTTCTGAAAGCGGGTGGAGCCCCGTCTACGTGCTGTTTTCGAGAGTCATTATGAATCGTCTCGCACGCAGATTTGACGACTTCCAGCCTCCCGAACAAGCCGGTATTTCCGAAAAGGCTTTAGTACCAGGGACCACAAACACACCCTTCGGCAAAGTCTGCCACTTTGCCTTGGGTGTGTGGACTATGAGAAAGCCTTTCATTCCGTCGAAATTCGGGCGGTGCTGCAGTCCCTTCAGCGGTGCCAAGTTGACTGTCGGTATATCGAAGTGCTGAAGTGTTTGTACCATGAAGCGAATATAAAGAGGAGGTGTTGTAATTAGATTTCACTATGTAACAACGCGTGACAATTTGCGGGGTGAGGGGATGTTAAGCCCCGCCTACTTTACACTATCTACATCTACCGATAAATAGTAAAACTAATCTAATCGTTCCATATCTGTATCATATAGATTGCGGCCTGTTCACAAAATCATTATAAACTATAAAAATAATATTTTGGCGATTAAAATTTCTTTATGTCTGAATGCAAAACAAATTTCAGCACCTTCATATGATTATTTTACCAATACTGAGCTCTGCGTACCTTTATATGTTTAGCGTACATGACACAAAGTGTCGCCATCTAGTGTCGAATATATTTAATTATATTTGAAAGCCGACGCAAGGAGATTTTTCCAGAATTATTTTAATAAATTACACACATAACATCACAGCGTCGATCTGAGTAGTTTTTCACGATCAAACACAACATTTCATCGTTTTCTTCTTAATACTACGAAAATACACCGATTTGCGATTTTCAACACATAAGCGCACAGGACGAATACTGACAGTATACTAACTAAAGCCACGCACACTATGATGACGTCAGGACTTACTTAGAATCACAGTGCACAGTTGCTTATGCCGTTTCCTCTTTGTATTTGCTTCATGGTTTGTACAGTAGAGCTACGATGGCTATCGTAGAGTACGAAACCTATCCAACTGCAGAGAGGTGTAAGACAGGGTGACGTTATATCCCCGACACTCTTCACCGCTGCATTGGAAGACGTTTTCAAGCTACTGGACTGGAAAGGATGCGGTATTAACATCAATGGCGAGTACATCACTCACCTTCGATTTGCCGACGATATAGTCCTTATGGCAGAATCGCTGGAGGACCTAAGCACTATGCTCAATGACCTCAATAGTATTTCCCAACGGATGGGTCTTAAGATAAACATGGACAAAACAAAAATCATGTTTAACGTCCATGTCACACCTATGCCGGTAGTTGTTGGGAGCACTAAGATCGAAGTTGTTGACGAGTATGTTTACTTGGGACAAATAGTCCGATTAGGTAAGGCCAACTTCGACACATCTTCTCGTTAGACATACCTCAAAATCTGAAAACGAATTTGTGCAACCAGTGCATGTTGCCAGTGATGACTTACGGATCTGAGACGTGGTCCTTCACTGCTGGCCGTTTGAGGATGCTCAAGGTCGGTCAGCGAGCTATGGAGAGGGCTATGCTCTGGGTTTCTCTGCGTGATAAACTTAGAAATGAGGATATCCGCAGTAGAACCAGAGTAACCGACATAGCCCAACGGATTAGTAAGTGGCAGTGGGCCAGCCATATAGCTCGAAGAACCGACAACCGATGGGGAAGAAAAATTGTCGAGTGGCAGCCTCGTACCGGTAGGCGAAGTGTAGGGCGACCACATACTAGATGGAGTAACGACCTGGTAAGACATGCAGGAAGTCCCGTGACCGAAGACCGTGCTTTGTGGCATTCCTTGGGGGAGGCCTATGTTCAGCAGTGGACTTATGAAAGGCTGTAATGATGACGACGATGATGATGATGATGAATGAATCTCATACGCATTTTGGAGGGAATGAATAGTAGAGAAACTAAATTCGAATGATAATGATGACGTTCTTCTAACCATGTTACAATTACATTAATCTAATAATCGCTGCTTCGAATCACATACGGAACAGCATTATACAGGATAATTGTAAGATTTATTTATTAGTTTTTTTTTGGAGTTTATGGCCTGGTATCTAGACCTTTAGGCCAAGTCTTGAGTATTTTTTTTTCGGTTTATTATAATTTCCCCAAATGTATAATTATCCTTCATAGTTCACTGCTTTACAATATGTTGATGCGTCACATTGTGCAGCCCTTGGGAGATTTTGACGGCAATTTGAGCCAGCAGATACCTGACAGTTGGCGCCTAAAGGCGCCTATGTAGACAAACAGCTTATCTTGAGAATCCATCACCATCAGAGCACTGGTTTCACCGTTTCCACTAATAGTTCACATGCATAGACAGTTAATACATAAAATCGCACCACTTTTACATATGAAAAAACACTTCAAACTATTATTTAAACTATAATACAGGAGCAGAAGTGGCAGTGGGCCAGCCATATAGCTCGAAGAACCGACAACCGATGGGGAAGAAAAATTCTCGAGTGGCAGCCTCGTACCGGTAGATGAAGTATAGGGCGGCCCTCCACTAGATGAAGTGACGAACTGGTAAGAAATGTGTTGGGTTGGGTGAGACCTATGTTCAGCAGTGGACTTGTGAAGGCTGTAATGATGCAATGCGCTCATCTCTGACAACTAAGATGGAATGACCCACAGCCTGTGATTATACTGACTCTATACCCATCAGAATGGAACACAGCAGTGCACGCACTGCTATTTGACGCCAGAAATAGGTAAGAGGTGGAGGGAGGAGTCCATCTTGGCAGGCACAAATAGATCAACTCCTAGGCGAAAATGGAGTTACACCACCTAGTACTGACACTAAGAAGATGGCAAGGATAATTGGTGTCTTACCAGTGTGTATCTTAGTAACATACATACTGGCTGCATTTATACAGGGTCAAAATATATTTTTAATGTATTAATAAGAGTCCTTTTGACATGCACTTTAAATATAGACAAAGGCAAATCAGTAAATCAATACATTACACAAGAAGCCCTCTTTATTTTGTGTCCATGGGCTACAGTAACCACTTGCCATAAGGTAAATTGTACCTTATTTAAATAATATCAAAAAAGGGGAATATCTTACCTGTTTCATGATTCTCATTTCCTTCCAATTTGGAATTCTCATATTCAAAAATCTCTTCCTCAACTTTAACGGCATCAAGGCAAAAAATTTCATCCTTACAATCATTTTCTATATCACACTCTACAGGCCAGATATCTATATGATAAATTGGTGTGAATTGAATCTCATCTCTAACCTTATGCGCTTTTGGTATTGACTGAAAGGAAATTATTTTTTCAAATAAGAGAAAAAGCCACTGTAGTGGTGGAGTAGGAGAACCCATACTACCCCCTGCCATCCCGCAGATGTCGTAAAAAGAGGCAGAGGGAAACTGAAACAGGAGATCGGGGGGCAGCATCTTCCTGACAACAAATTCAAATAATAATAAACACCAGACAAAAGTGAGGGTTTAGAGTAAACTTAAATAAGAATATAATTAATAGAATCATTCGTTACTTTGCGGAAATCCATTATATAAAAGCTTTTAGAAAAATTTTACTTCGCAAATATCCGCGTTATAAAATAAAATGATGTGTCTTACCTAGTATGAAGAGCACCTCCCGCCCTCCCTCAATTGCGTGCACTATCCCCGTCACCACTAATACCAGCACCGCTACTCCCAACACCACTACACTAGGCAAGACACACCACTGACGATAATACGACACGTGTTTCGCCTCTACACGAGGCATCCTCAGGTGATATAGACTCTACGGTAGGTAACCGCTAAGTGAGCGGCGAGCCAAAACAAGTGCCTTTTATACAGACCGCTGACGCAACCGCTCTCTACTTAAGGAGCGAGCGACTGCGTCATGCGATAAAACATGCGACCAATCACCGCCGAACTTACGCAGCCGTTTGTAAAATTAAAAACAAACCGCCGCGCAACGCCCACCCTCCAACCACGCAACCAATCGCCGAACACCGTGAGGGTGACTAACGACCATATTGCGAGGCTCTCTATTATTAGAGAGCAGGCTTAAAGATATTTAAGAGAGGTGAGTTAGTAACATTTGTTTGTTCATTCAGCAATGCAACGGTACTATTGTTACTTTTTAATATCTCTAACTGTTCCAGCACACACAGCCGCAGCCCTTTATTACACGTATGTAATCTTTAAAGGAGTGGTCGTTGGCTAGGTTGTGTCCAGTGTCCAAAAGATGTTTGGCAAAATGGGATTTATCGGGATTGCAATTCCTGTACGCGGCTAAATGCTCTTTATAACGTGTCTCGAAATTGCGACCAGTCTAACCCACGTAAACGGCGTGGCATTTGTCACAAACAAGTTTGTAAACACCTGACTTTTGACGAATATCCAACTTATCTTTATTATTACAGATATTTCTAAGAGAATTGTTTGTTTTGAACGCCACATAAACGCCGTTTTGTCGAAGAGTATTAGCTACTTTTTCAGATATGGGGCCTAAGTAGGTCAAACTGCTCACATATCGATGAACACTTTGAGATGACCACTCACACCGACACGGTCACGACCGTGTCGGTGTGAGTGGTCATCCTCGCGTCATCGTGTCATCCGTGGCTACATAAAGTAGCCTCTTTTTATTGTTACATTAACCGTTTGTTCACTGTCCCATTAAGTATAGAAAATTATTTAAAAGAACTTAATATAATTTATCAAATAGCGGTCTCCAACGGTTTTTCAAAAAATCTCATTAACAATTTAATTAAAAAGAAACAAAAGCATGTTATTCGCAACTCTCTGTACGCGGGTCAACCTCAAAGTATTCATCGATATGTGAGCAGTTTGACCTACCTAGGCCCCATATCTGAAAAAGTAGCTAATACTCTTCGACAAAACGGCGTTTATGTGGCGTTCAAAACAAACAATTCTCTTAGAAATATCTGTAATAATAAAGATAAGTTGGATATTCGTCAAAAGTCAGGTGTTTACAAACTTGTTTGTGACAAATGCCACGCCGTTTACGTGGGTTAGACTGGTCGCAATTTCGAGACACGTTATAAAGAGCATTTAACCGCGTACAGGAATTGCAATCCCGATAAATCCCATTTTGCCAAACATCTTTTGGACACTGGACACAACCTAGCCAACGACCACTCCTTTAAAGATTACATACATGTAATAAAGGGCTGCGGCTGTGTGTGCTGGAACAGTTAAGAGATATTAAAAAGTAACAATAGTACCGTTGCATTGCTGAATGAACAAACAAATGTTACTAACTCCTTGCTACAACAGGTCCCATCCGCAGAGATCGTGATCCTTGGCGATCTTAACGCCCACCACGCCGAATGGCTCGGTTCACGTTTAACCGATCATGCGGGGAGATCTGTTTATGACTTTGCCTTGGCATATGGTCTGACACAACTGGTTACATCGCCTACGCGGATTCCAGATGTTGAGGATCATACACCTTCCCTGTTGGACCTTCTGCTGACCTCTCATCCGGACGGATATCAGGTTTCCGTCGATGCCCCTCTTGGCTCTTCGGACCATTGTCTGATCCGGAGTGTGGTGCCACTCACGCTCCCCTCGCGGTTGCGTTCTGCAGGTTGCCGCCGTGTTTGGCACTACAGGTCGGCGGATTGGGACGGAATGCGGTCTTTCTTTGCTTCCTACCCATGGGGGCGGGTTTGCTTCTCGCCGGATGATCCCAGCGCTGTTGCTGACTCTGTCACTGATGTGGTGCTACAGGGAATGGAACTATTTATTCCATCATCTGTGGTACCCATCGGAGGCAGATCTCAGCCTTGGTTTGGTCGCTCCTGTAAGACTGCATTACGCAGTAAGCTGGAGTGTTATCAAGCCTGGGCTGCGGCTTCGGTGACTCGGGATGTAAACACCAGCACACTCAAAAAGAAGTATAACTTCGCCTCCAGGTCCTTCAAAAGAGTTATTGCCAAGGCAAAGTCAGAGCATATAGGCAGAATTGGCGAGAAACTAGTTCGCCTTCCTTCGGGAACCCGTGCATTCTGGTCTCTCGCCAAGGCTGTCCAAGGGAATTTCTGTAAGCCATCACTACCATCTCTGCACAGGGAGGACGACTCACTGGCCCACGACGCAAAAGAGAAGGCCGACCTTTTAGGCTCCCTTTTTGCGTCCAACTCGACTGTTGATGACGGGGGGAACACACCGCCGACCATCCCGCGGTGTGAGTGCTCCATGCCGGATGTGCGGTTCTCACAGCGCTCGGTTCGCAGAGCACTCCTCTCCCTTGACATCCACAAGTCGAGTGGGCCTGACGGTATCCCCCCAATTGTGCTGAGGACGTGTGCTCCGGAGTTGGCACCGGTTCTAACGCGTCTTTTCTGGTACTCCTCTTTTGTCCACCCGATCCCTAAAAAAGGCGACCGCTCAGACCCGTCCAACTACAGGCCTATCGCCATCACCCCCTTGTTCTCCAAAATAATGGAATCCGTTGTAAACTGCCACCTCATGCGGTACCTTGAGGATCACCAGCTGATTAGTGACCGCCAGTACGGTTTTCGTCGGGGTGATCTTCTGGTCTACTTAACTCATAGATGGGCGTTGGCAGTAGAGTCCAAGGGGGAGGCATTGGCCGTTAGTTTGGACATTGCGAAGGCCTTCGATCGGGTTTGGCACAAAGCGCTTCTTTCGAAGCTCCCTTCCTATGGGCTTCCCGAGAAATTATGCAATTGGATCACCAGCTTTCTTGCAGATCGGAGCATCAAGGTCGTTGTAGACGGTGCATGCTCCGACTACAAGCCTATTAACGCTGGTGTTCCACAAGGCTGCGTGCTATCACCAACGCTGTTTCTTCTGCATATCAATGATATGTTGCAAGCCGGCAGCATTCATTGCTATGCGGATGACAGCACTGGTGATGCTCTATACTCCGGCCGTGCCAATATTTCTCGGGAAAACGTCACTGAGTACCGGAACAAACTTGTGTCTGAAGTCGAGTCTTTGCTGGACAAAGTCTCGGATTGGGGGCGACTAAATCTAGTCCAGTTTAATCCTCAGAAGACACAAGTTTGCGCGTTTACCGCTAAAAAGAACCCCTTTGTCGTATCTCCTCAGTTTCAAGGTACTCCCCTTGTTGCCTCAGCCAGTATCGGAATCCTCGGCGTCGACATATCGAGTAGCGTGCAGTTTCGTGGTCACTTGGAAGAGAAGGCCAAATTGGCCTCTAAAAAGCTTGGTGTGCTCAGCAGAGCGGGACAGTATTTCATGCCGGCTCAACGCCTGCAACTTTACAAGGCGCAGGTTCGGCCTCACATGGAATACTGTTCCCATCTCTGGGCTGGGGCTCCCCAGTGCCAGCTTCTTCCACTTGACCGCATCCAGCGCAGAGCGGCTCGAATCGTCGACGACCGAGTCCTTTCCGATCGGCTCGACTCATTGGCACTGCGAAGACATGTTGCATCTCTTAGCATTTTCTTTCGCATTTACCATGGGGAGTGCTCTGAGGAATTGTTCGGATTAATCCCAGCCACCAAATTTCATGAACGCACATCGCGGCAGAACTCCCGATACCATCCACACCATCTGGATGATTGGCGGTCCACCACTGTGCGATTTAGAAGATGTTTTCTTCCTCGCACAACTTCTTTGTGGAATAGTTTACCACCAGCAATTTTTCCGGACCGATACGACTTAGGGACCTTCAAGAAAAGAGCCTACTCCTTTTTAAAAGGCCGGCAACGCATCTGCAATTCCCCTGGTGTTGCGGTTGTTCATGGGCGGCGGTAGTCACTTACCATCAGGTGAGCCGCATGCTCGTTTGCCCCCTCTCCTATAAAAAAAAAAAAAAAAACCTCTCTTAAATATCTTTAAGCCTGCTCTCTAATAATAGAGAGCCTCGCAATATGGTCGTTTGTCACCCTCACGGTGTTCGGCGATTGGTTGCGTGGTTGGAGGGTGGGCGTTGCGCGGCGGTTTGTTTTTAATTTTACAAACGGCTGCGTAAGTCCGGCGGTGATTGGTCGCATGTTTTATCGCATGACGCAGTCGCTCGCTCCTTAAGTAAAGAGCGGTTGCGTCAGCGGTCTGTATAAAAGGCACTTGTTTTGGCTCTCCACTCACTTAGCGGTTAGCCACCGTAGAGTCTATATCACCTGAGGATGCCTCGTATAGAGGCGAAACACGTGTCGTATTATCGTCAGTGGTGTGTCTTGCCTAGTGTAGTGGTGTTGAGAGTAGCGGTGCTGGGATTAGTGGTGACGGGGATAGTGCACGCAAATGAGGGAGGGCGGGAGGTGCTCTTCATACTAGGTAAGACACATCATTTTATTTTATAACGCGGATATTTGCGAAGTAAATTTTTCTAAAAGCTTTTAAATAAGAATGTAAATAGTTCATCTATCCCGAGAATCGAGTGTCAACAATTTTTGGATTCAGATTCACGAAAGCTGTAAATTGACAAAGATTTATCTTTGTTTGTGTTATTATATTTTGCAATGGGAAGCAGCATAGAAGAGTGGATTGTGCAGTGATGGTGTAAGAATATCCACTATCCTATATACCTATCCGCTGGATGGGTGTCGTAAGACACAACAGAGGGAAACAGAAACAGGGGTTGGGCGGCAGCATCTTCTTGATGACAACTGAGACTAATATAAACTATGGTTGCCAACTTGCCAAGTGTGGCAAATTTGGCAAAATCTCTTCTATGAAGCAATCTATGAGTGAGACCTATGTTCAGCAGTGGACTTTTATAGATTTTAATGGATGGAATGGATAATACCATGGATCCTCCTGCAAGAAACTGCTCCAGAACTGCATTTGACTCAATAGCCTGTTGTTGTAATCTTTTGCAACGAATGAGTCTTGCATGACAGGTGAAACAGACAATTATGGGCCCCTCATTCTCATCCAACTGAAAATATGAAAAATCTTCATAAATATGGTACAGTATTCAAATTTATAAGTTTGTAATAAAATCTATTGGCTACCACATTTCACTTTGTCAATATCATTTTTTATAATATTGAAGTGACAAATAAACTTTCCATCTACTTGATGGTAAGTGACTGGGCACCATGGGCACCTGCAACGAACTTCAAGCAATGGCCACAGATGCAATGTTATATCTGAGGACTAAGATGTAATGCATCACAGCCTGGCTCTCAATGTTCTTCAGACTAGGGTACATACTGCTGCTTGGTGCCAGAAAATGGTAAGAGGATGATATGTAGGCAGAAAAAAACTCCTACAGTTCCAAGCCACCTACGAGGATTTCAATACGACTTAGGGACCTTCAAAAAAAGAGCCTACTCCTTTTTAAAAGGCCGGCAGCGCATCCGCAATTCCCCTGGTTCCCCTGGTGTTGTAGTTGTTCATGGGTGGCGGTAGCCACTTACCATCAGGTAATCCAGCCGCATGCTCGTTTGCCCCCTCTCCTATATAAAAAAAATACATGTACACTCTATTCTCTCACTTTAATAGTCCGATAGAACAGCTTTAAGTGGCTGAACAGCCAAACCAGGGTAAATGTTAATTTCTTGATAGAAAATCACAATAATACTCATTCAAGTAATATGTACTAGAACAGACACCAGGAACAAAATCTATGCAGCAGTGCGGTTTGCATGGAAGGAGGCGCAGGGCACCTTTTTATAACACAGACTCTGTAAATTTGGGCCCACAGGCTCTAACACATGTTGCAAACAGTCTCGGCATATCTTTTAGCATGTAGTACAATTAAGCCCCGGATACACTAGGGGCCATTTTGTCCTGCAACATGATGTGAAACACTCAATCGACATGACGATGCAACATTGCACAGTGACCCTGAACATTGTAAGTGACGTGGGACATGTTCCTTGCTCCCGCTCCGAGAGCGAGAATACATGTCCGGCATCAGTGTCACGTCATTTGTTACCGGGTGCAGTTGTGTGCACAACTTGCCTTGCAACATGTCAGTTGTGTAGGGAAACAAAACCATACTTTTACTTCCTAAACTTTACCAAATTCATATTTTATTATGAAATACTTCTAACCACTAACTTCTATTACTATTCTGCCGATCAGTTGTTTCAATACACTCGAAAAGTGTATGACAAGGAAGCATAAGAAACTCCAGTCGACAAGTATCTTAATGCAAGTCTGATACTGATATGACGGCAACAGCATTTTTATATGTGGTAGAGTCATGCTGCAGCTATATTAGTAGTATAGTTGTAGCACAAATGGGTCGGCTCAACCGGGGAAGGACCACGCTCTTACAGAATACCAGCGTAAACTAGCAGCTTAACGCTGCTGTGTGCTATGGTGAGTGTAGAGAACCAGAGACCCTTTTTACTGGAAATGAGGTATTCCATCTTAGTCCTCACGAGTGACAACGCATCTGCATTTTGATTTTGATTTGTAATAGAGGATGATGTAGATGTCTATGGGCCGCAACAACCACTTACCATCAGGTGGACTGTATGCTCGTTTGTCACCCTTATCCTATAAAAAAAGCATTCCGTAGTATAGTATCCTGTTTGGCTATGGAAGGTGCGATCATTTGTTATAAAGTTTCAAAATCAGATGTTGACATTCGAGTAAAATGCACAAAAGATCCGTCAGACATTCGGAGATCACTTAAAATATCAATTACTCTTCCTTCACATTGTAGTAAGGAATTCTGCATCCACCACCTTCTTTTTCGCTTCTGTTTCACTCCCAAAATAAGCACTACATACACAGCACTAATTGCCATAACCTTCTCCGGCGACATTTCTATAAGCACTGACTAGTAGGCGTGTGTATCTCTTTACGGAAACGACTCACTGATCTGATTCATTGAAGTGTCACAAAAGATTGGTTCAGTAACAACGTTTCAAATGTATCATTTGGATCTGGAACAGTGAAACATTACATTGGTCTTTGCTCATTTCGCGCGACGCGTCGCTTGCGAGGCGACTGAGCCATGAGCTAGAGAGACAGACTGAGACAATGATTAACTTAACTATTGACTCACGAGTGGCGAGTGAGCGGGCGAAATAATTATAATCCACACAAGTCAGATAGAGATAACAAATAAGAAGTGTATCACTCAACTCGTACGGATTTTTGCTGACGTTATTCATGCACGTAAAAATTACCACTAAGGCGCTTATGTGTCAAATACTATACGGTCGTTTTTTGTATGTAATGTTTGCATTAACAAGTTGTCATTTTACGTTGATGCGGCACTTGTCAAATTGTTTATATTCATTAGCGCCTGTTTACGAAAACATACTAATTTACATAACTAAGTTATGTTTAGGATTTCTTTGCGTAGTGATTATTGTGACTACTTTCTTCCTTTTCATCATAAAGTTTAGAGTTATGATACTTTGCGAGAAAATTCTGTGTACATAGACATTGCTGTTTTGTGTAAATGGACATTTATGTAAATAATGAATTGACATAGTGACATTTTTTTTAATGTATGAAGGAGTATCGATTTTATATACAATCTTATTACGGTACACAATAAATAATCTAAGCACTTATATTTATCAGCATTGTTGCCACATAACATTTCACGGATCAGTCAGTAATAAACGCCCGCGACGCAACTTAATGTATTTGGAACATTCTTTCTTTTATATCTTTTGAGTCGATGACACAAATGAGCCAACCGAAACATATCAGTGTTTCGGAACATTTCAGTGATCAAGATGCAAATGTTCCAATCCCAAAAATGATACACTTTGCCCGCCTCCACTGACTAGTGTGGCCTGCAAAAAGTTCCGCGACATAGGTATGTCTCGGGACATTCCACGTAGTAGTTTAGAAACATGTTGCGCAATATGCCGCTCCATGCGTACCCAAGTATATCCTACTAGGCTTTACTTAAATGATAATACTGATTTTAGTGCGACTCAGTATACCAGGCTAATTGTTGTTTCTCAGATACTGGTTGTATTTGTCACTATATTTAACGCTACATCTTAGAACATATATGGGGCATCATAATGTATTTCTCTAGTGATAACAACAAATTACCGAAACTTCATTTAGCAATAAATAAAAATAAAAAACTTACAAAACTGTTCGTCAATGTCCTATACACATTTTGTAGGCCAGTCTCCTTTAGTACAACCATGCGTACATTAACGCCTAAACAAATTCTACAAACTTCACCTTCCCTAAAGGCCATTGCTGTTTTCTATAGCTTTATTCAAAGAGATATAGATATACTTCTAAGTCAGTGGCTTTATTAAAATTGATCATTGAATTCTCTTTTTCATCAACCGGACCAAACCGGACTTTTCACTTGTCAACTTGTCATTACAATTTAAAATGCGCCCAGCCCAGCGCCAGCGCCTACAACTGTATCATATATTAGGCTTGGGCAAAAAATATCGATATATCGAAATATCGATATTTTTAAATAAAAATAACGATATATATCGTCGATATTTTAAATCGCGATATTTCGATATTTATTTTAGAGTATCAAATTCGTATCAATTTCGATATATTTTAAAATGTTGTATCGTTTTTTTCGTCGTCCAACCGTCAGTAAATAAAATCTTTAAATAAAGACCTTATCTTTACATCATGCAAATGTTGACGATATATCGATATTTATCACGCTATATATATCGATATTGTTTAAAAATTAAGATTCGATATATATCGATATATTTTTTGCCCTTGCCCATCCCTATCATATATAAAAATTAAAGAGTACTCTGTGAATAAAGCCCGCTTTTCACTATGGGATATAATATAATACATATTACATCTCGAGATATAAATTAATATCGCTCACCATATATTTCATATGGAACCGTTTACACTGAGCTATAATATATATGACACCTCAAGCTATAAATATTTTTTCGATCGACCGAGCAATATTTTCATATTATATTTCACCCCCTGTACACCGCAAACCGTTCCGCGCCCCCGCAAAACGGTGTGCGGTGTACAGGGGGCTAATCCAATGACCAATGACGAACGCACACTAGTTAAAAGATATATCTCACAGTGTGAACTAGAGATGAGACATACTTGCAAAATTTAATACCAGGGCTTCTAAGTACGGGTATGGAAAAATACCAGGGTCGAAAACCAGGTTTTAAAAATACGTAAAAGTATTTGTTCGTAAATACGTAAAAGTTCTAAGTATTTTTCGTTCACAAATACAATTGAGTTCCTTACTACTATTGAGATATGGATAATTTTACTATGCAAGTATTTTCATACTTGCAAGTATTTTTTGCTCCTACCAGGGCGCCGTACTGTGAAGTCAATACTTATAAATAATAAAACCTGGTAGCGTAAATACGTCTCATCTTTAGTGTTAACGCCAATCGTGGGATATTATTTATATTTCGGGATATAATATATATTATATTCCATAGTGTAAAGCCAGCCTAATACTTGAAAAACGCGATTATTATAACACAAAATTTAGATGACTAAAAAGAACAAAAAAGATCATTTAAAGTCTATCAAACGTATAGTTTTTAGATTTTGTCGTGTTATAATGTACTAGATCCATCTGTTGGCACGAGGTGTCGGCTCTGTTGATGTAAGAAGATAAAAATTAAAACGTTATGTGATTTTGAGATTCAACAACCTATTTGACAACATTTTTAAAATGATCGCATAATCTAGTGTAACCTTGAACAACATACGAGTGTATTGTCTATGTTGGTTTATGCATTTGCCGTTCCTGTATAGGACAGTTATTATCATAGATAATACACTATATACCAGGAAGTTATTGTCACAGAATACATGTACCCTGACGGGTTATTATACTCTTTGATTTGCCGCCGTTTGCATTAATCCTACACTTCACAATTCGTTTCACCGGTTGTGACTTGTGCGTTTCTTTGTATCCCGTGTGATAATTATCCGTGAAAGACAAGATCCTGTTTATTGTTAGTGCTGTTGAGCTGAGTGCAAATTCCTCCAGTGTCAGACTGGAGGAATTTGCATTATTATATTATTGTGTTTTGAGACAAAGACTTATATTTTTAGTATTGTTTTAGAGACAGAGACTCAGACTCTTCAACATGTCTAGTAAAAAGTGTTGTGTTCCCGGCTGCATGGACTCTGGAAGTAAGTATATTCCGTAATTTGATAAGTTTTAAACTAAACATATTATCAAAAATCTCTTGCATCAGTGCTGTGCCTTGTATAGACGGCTGTAGGTTGATATAGAGCCATACTGCAGCTATATTAATAGTATAATTGTAGCATGAATGGGTCGGCTCGATCGGGGAAGGACCACCCTCTCACAGAATAACGGCGTAAAATAGCAGCTTAAGGCTGCTGTCTTTCGTATGGAGAGTGTAGAGAACTGGAGATTCTTTTTACTGGAAAAAAAGATCTAATCCATAGTTCCATCAAGGACTGCCTCACGGGTGACAACTAGGGATGCAAACGATACATCGAGGTTTGTAAAACATCGAAGTATCGGTCATAAACATCGATGTTATCATCGATGTTTTGAAGAGCGATATATCGTCGATACATCGTCTGCTACACTCACAACGACATCGTTCTTCAGTCTGTTCGGGTTCTTGGAATCACTGTGACGTTCGCTCGCATCGCATTGCTTTGGTGTTGACACGTTAAGAGCGGGTACACATTGGGCGCTCGGCGTTGCGTTGGGCGCGCGCTTGTATAGTACGGCCGCTGAGTTATTACCGATTTGACAGATTATTCTTAAATTAATCGATATAACCTTGCACGAGCGACACATTTGCCGAATGATTTAGAATACCTCTTTAATATAAAACTTTATGTCAAAATGTCAGAATCAAGTAATTTTCCAATAAACTCTGTTTCAAAACTTAAAATAGTTTGTAAATAATATGAAAACATTTATTTTTTGTTCTTTGGCGCGCTTGTACAAAGTTACATCGTGCGTCTAGTTTTCATAGTGATGTGCTTGATAGTATTCGGTGCGAATTCATTGGAATAGATATGATATTTATTTTATTTGGATATTTTTATTTTACTTATTCCTTCGAGCAACTAGACTATAATGCTACCATTTTTTTGCGTCTCCTAATTGCACTGTGTTGCCAGTATCTCTATGATTTTTAAGATTTATGTGTGATCCAAAGACAGAAATACTGTTTTCTATGATTTAAAAATAAATACAATTAAAATGATTATGTATAATTTTTAACATTCATAATATATAAAACAACATTTAATAAATATAATTTTCTCCCTCAATTAAGCAATGTTATAGGTGTATTTTTTTAAGTAATTGGCGATACTATTCTGGCAACACCCTTACCACCGCTATTTTAATCTGTTTAGTCGTCTTCCGTACTCTCGTGCGCACAGACTACCTTCTCTTGTGTAACCGTTGTTTTTTGACTCGGCTTTCTCCTGTTTATCGTTGCGCTTTATTGGACTAATTTTGTTTGTGTTTGGTAATTTTGTTGAAAATGCCGAAACGAGGAAAAACATTGAATAGTCAATGTCGTGAGCTTGTACTAAAGCTACAGGATTACTTTGAGCGTGAGTCACAAAATGGCGGCCCTTTGATTCCTGTCACTCAAGTGAAAGATCGGGTTTCACAAGCTCTTGGAATTGGTGCAAAAACACTATATAATATAAATAAAGAAAAATTTGGTGCTTCTGGAAGTGAAGATAATGTTTTACGCACTCCTAAGAAAAAACGAAGACAAAAGCCCGTGACAGGTGTTGATGTTTTTTATGCAAATGCAATAAGAAACCACATATATGGTAATTATACTAGGAACGAGTTTCCAACTAGACGTTTGCTTTTGGTCTCTTTAAAAGAAGCTGGCTTGTTTAAAGGCGGTAAAACGGCGTTGTCAAAACTATTGCACGAAATTGGGTTTGAATATAAAAAAACGAATAAAAGGAAAATATTAATGGAAAGATTTGATTTAATAATTAAAAGGAGCGAGTTTTTAAGAGAAGCCAGAAAAATCGAGTCTTGCGACAACGTCGTTTTTGTTGACGAAACATGGTTAAATGCGAACCACACTGTGTCACGCTCTTGGACTAACGAAACAAAAGCATCAACCTCAAAAGTTCCAATTGGAAAAGGATCGCGACTGATAATTTGTCACGCCGGTTCTGCTGGAAGTGGTTTCTTTGAAAATGGACTGCTGGCTTTCGCGTCAAAAAGTACTTCCGATTACCACGAGGAGATGGATACAGACACTTTTACGAATTGGTTCGAAAATCAATTATTACCCAGCCTGCCAGAGCCTTCTATCATAATAATGGACAACGCTTCATATCACTCGAAACAAGTGAATAAAGCGCCTACTCAGGCCGACAAGAAAGCTGATCTCGTAGCATGGCTACACCAAAATGGAATTAAAACTACTGCCGAAATGCTAAAGTCTGACTTAGTAAAGTTGGTACGCGAAAATAAAACATCAAGAGTCCGTTATGAAGTAGATGAGATAGCTCTAGCACATGGACATCGGGTACTTCGAATTCCGCCTTATCACTGCCAATACAATGTCATTGAGCTAATATGGGCACAAATCAAAGGTATTGTTTTTTATCGCATAAGTTATGAATATGAATAATTTGTACTATTATAACATCCAATATTCAGCATATAAGTAAAAGAATACATAACTAAGAAATAAATATCTCATGTCCCTTACATGTAGGTAATTGTGTAACATTTCGTTTATTTAATGAAATAAATTAACGTTATTTAATGTTTACATTACAGGTTACGCAGCTCGTAATAATACGACTCCGCCATTCAGTACTAATAAAATGATGGGTCTATTAAAAGATGCTTGCAGCAAAATAACGAAAGAAGATTGGGTCAAGGTCGTCGAAAAGACTCGAAAACTAATAACAGAAGATTATGAACGCGATATAAGAGTGGACACCATTATAGAGAATGAAATTGTCATACAAGGGACTGATAGCGATGACAGCTCTGGCGAATCTGGTTCAGAGTCTGAATAATTGTTTTAATAAATGATAGGTAGTCATTTATTAAAACATCTTGTACCTACTCTATTCATTAAAATGTGTAATAGTGTTTACAAATTTGTTTTATTTTGATATGTCCTCGACCAATTATCTACGCCCATCAAGGATACTCCACCTAATAAAGAACCTGTGTCTTTAACTATTATTGTTTTGATTTTATTTAATTACACACTATACTAGAATATTTAAAAACAAACTGTTCCCAAATGATATTAGGGTTACTGGTTCAGTCACTTCACTAGTATTGTCAATTCGTCATGTGTCAAATCGGTAATAACTCAGCGGCCGGACTATAGCATACATACAGCGCGCTTAGCAC